TGGTCATTGTCATGATTGGGGAGCTTCATTCATGTCATGCGGCATTCATCAACATGCAAGGCCGTTCCCGCAGCTGTTCAAGCTGCTCCAGCTGTCCAAGCGCTGTCGCATGGCCAACGTTGCTGCTGCAATTGCTGAGGCAGTGGAAGCGATGGAGGCAGCAGATGCAGCGGTGATTCAAGGCGACGCGCCTTTGATTGAGGATGGCAAGGACGAAGAGCCTGCAGAGCCTGCTCGGGATGACGGAGGTGCTGGAGATGATCAAGCCATTCAAGCTGCCCCAGCCGATCCAACCGTCCCAGCCGTCCAAGCTCAAGGCGCGCTGGTGCCTGCTGGCGAGAATGTCGTGGCCCGATCTATGCGGCAGGAGATCGCGGAAGGGGTCATGGCTGCAGTGGGCAGTACGCCTTTCCACCTGCGCATGGAAGGTATGTTGCTCGAGCAGAAAGAGGTGCAGCGGCACGCAATTGCGTTGCCGCAGGCCCCGAGCATCTTCCGTGAGAAGTACGATACCCAGAGTGACTTCACCTGGTCTCTCTTCGGCTTCAACACTTTGCTGAACAGCTTCTACGAGAATGGGGTCAAGAACGCTGAGAACGTCGAAGCCATTTGCGCAGGTACTGGGGTGTCTAAAAGCATGTTTTTCTTGCCAAAATAAAACTGTTGGACAGGGTGAAGTTTGCAATTTGCGATTTTATTTTCCAAAGCGTTCTACCCGCTTTGCTTCAGGCTTTACGCTGCCAGCCACCGAGCGGCACATTGTGGAAACTGCCCGGGATTTGCTCGCACAGATCCCAACCGGGGGAGGCGTCCCCCAGAGGTTCATGGTCGTGACTTTGATCAACATTCATTCCGAATGGTTTTGATTTTATTGATGATGTGTCATGCTGGCTTGAGTCATGCCTTATCGTGTTTGGATAGAGCTTAGAGGGCTTAAACGTGAAACTGCCATTGTTTCTTTTCCAAGCTTCCTTTGGCTGAGTTGTCGACCATCGTCCGGGAGCACCTGGAGCAGTTCGCCGAAGTGCAGGAGCATGACGGCGACATTATCTGCAATGTGCTGCTTTTCCCATATGTGATGAATGGGGCAGCCCGAGGCTATAAATTGTCAGTGCCAACCAAGGACTGGGAGAGTCTAAAGACATGGAAGTGCGAGCTGTCCTATAGCTGTCCTAGCTGTCCTAGCTGTTATGGAAGTTCTTGGTCACGTAACGTAGTCATATGTTTTAACTAAAATATAGTTTGTTCGAACGTTGTCTAGTTTTCCAAATCCTGCAGGACATGTCATGGTCCGGGTGGGCGCTTCCATGGGGCAGTGACGGCTTGCTCATGCCGGTTGGCCTCTACGCCACCGACGTCCTCGAGATGGCGCGCCAATTTGTGCAGTTGGCTGGCTTGGGGCGACGAAGCAATGGTCCCAGAAGCTTGGATGCCTTTCTTTCAGACGAGAACCAGGTGGTCATGGCTGTCGAGGACAGGAACAAGGCTTGCATCCAAGCATCCTTCTTCAGCAATGCGTTCCACGGCAAGCTGGAAGAGCATGCCTCAGCAGGCGTGCGGTATGCCTTGGATCTTGCCAGGTACAAAAACCAGATCCAATACAAGCTGGTGGAGAAGTTGGATGTGGGCTTCGGACAATTTTTTGATTTTGGAGAAGAAGCTGGCTATGGACCCACTTCCTATTTCGTCTCGGCTGAGGGGTTCTTTTACGTCCTCTGCTATCGAGCTGCTGACGTGGCCCAGCGGAAGTTCGAAGGCACCCCGCGATGGATTCTGCAGGCTGGATGAAATTTGAGTTAGCAGTAGCACAAATTAGGTTCACAGAAATTGCACACACATACACACACGTTATACATTATATGTAATATAGTGTATGTACGAAAAGAGAGTGTGCATGATTTTTTTGAAAGTAATTATAATATATATATATATAATATAATATATAATATATATAATATATATATAATATATATATGTTTATTTTTAATTTATCATTATTATTATTATTGTTATTACTATTTTTGTTCAAACTTATGCCATGTGTGTGTGTGACCCCCTAACTTAGTTCTTGGCAATGTGTTTCCGGGTTTCAAACATCGCTACTTGCCTGCAAGGGCGAGTGCTTCAAGGGCGACTTCGACGACGACAAGTGGACCTACCGAGCTGGATCACGAGCAGCCTGCACCATCCAGTGGGTTGGGGAGGGCCCTGATGACTTCAACCTTCTGTGGGATGGCATGCAAGTTGTAGCTTGGATTTGACTTCAGAAAAACTTTCATATGCCCATGATGTGCGTTTCATGAGCGCATGCTTTCCCTGTGACTTTGAAGGCCCTTGTGTGGTTTTTGGTTTTGAAAAATAACGAAAACTTGTTTCAGGAAAGGGCGCTTGTGGCCACAAAGACGACAACGTCCATGGTGCTTGCACTTCGGTTGTCCCGCTGGGAAGATTCAAAAGGACGGCCCTGGAGTGTCACATTGGCCAGATGCTCTTCGGTCCCTGATGGTGTGAAGATGGCGATGGCACAGTCGAGCGTCCATGCGGACAAATACTGTCGCCAGACCTACAGGAACACCAATGACATGGAGCTTGCCCAATACGCCCATCGCACACGCCAAGTTTTCACTTCCCGCCCACCGTCGCGCTACGGGCAGGAGTCGCAGCAGGAGCCTCAGCAGCAGCAGCCACCGCCGAGCGCTGCAACAGGCTTTCCACCAGGAATGACACCCATGGATGATGGGTGGGGCGGAACCATGTTTGTGCCGACGGCTCCAGTTCGCCCTGCCATGCCTGCTTTTCAGCCGTTCTGGAGTCAGCAGACTTGGCAGCAGCAGCCGTCCCAGCCGTCACAGCCGTCCCAGCCGTCCCAGTCGTCCCAGCAGGGACAAGGCCAGCATGGACAGGGCCGGCGCAACCAGGGGCAGAATCAGGGGCAGAATCAGGGGCAGAATCAGGGCTGGTGGAACTGAGAAGCGTGTCTGAGAGGGGTAGCGATTTTTTCAAAGTGCAGTGCGGCAACAGCCGCTTTAATTCATTGGATTAGAGCCGGCACGTCGCTGGTGCTATTGGCCGCAGCTGTCCAGCCTTTAGCCGTCCAAGCTATTTTTGCTTGGCTTCTTCCAACTGAGCATGGTTCAAAGCCTTTCACCGATGTTTAATCCCGACTAATATGGCAACTAATCTAGTAGCAGTCGAATCACCACAATGTTGGCTAGTAACATCACTAACAGGGGTTTGGAACAATGCTCAACTGTGCACACTATCACGTCGATGGTGGCATTGCAGTGGCAGAAAACTTTTTTTTCAAGCGCGGTGATTTTCTCGCTTTGGCTTCAATCTTTTTTTGCAATTTAGTCCGTTCATCCATTTCATCGCATTCGATTAGCCCTTGGCCAGGCCGGGCCCTTGCCTACGTTCTTTTTCTGGAGAAGCAGGTGCCTGGGAAGTTCCTGATGCCAAGTTCACAGACAAACACGTTCAATGAACATTCCCGTCTTTTTCAGGAAAGTTTGATAATGAGATTGAACATTCAAAACACTGGACTATAAATAAAATTACGATGTTCATAGTGGCCAGCTACCAAGGGTTGACTGATGGCAGGTACTCTGGGCCTACTTTGCTGCTGTTGCTGCCTGTGGGTGGCTTCAAAAACGCTCGCCAGGCATGGTTCGAGCCTTGCAGTTTTTGGTTCATGGTTGGTGCCCTCATTTGCAAGTTCATGATCAGATTTCTTTCATTCTTTTACACCCAAAACAATTTATAATGAGATGAGTTCTTACTAAGAATAGCTTTCCCCATGCGAATGTTTTTCCTCTTACTTGGGCTCCCACCTTTTTTCTTCCTGATGATCGGCGCAGGCTGTGGAATCTTGCATCGCCACCAAGGAGAGTGGAGGCCAGACCAGCTTAGCCAAAATTGCTTCTACGCGGGCTTTTGCGAAGTCGCTTCGACATCAGGTTTCTATTCCATACGCAGCGCAGCAATCAATCCAGATCAGTTTAGTGGGTTTAGCTTGAACTTAAAAACTTCAAACACATTAGCAGACTTTGCAGGCCTGGGTTGGTGTCCAGTGTGGTTGCACGACCGGACGCTGTTTGCAGAGGTGCCTCTTGCCGCTAATGAAGTTGAAATGAGGGTTGTCTTTTGCAAGCACTGTTTTGTTTGATGCTGCTGCAAGAGTTTTTTGACTTGGTTCCTGTCCTGTGCCCACAGGATTCAGCTGTGCCAGCCGTTCCAGCAACCAGCTCTTGGAGAGGCCTGGCCACAAGTAGCATGAAATTACCATTGTGTTTTGACATTGCGATGAGATAAAGTCTTGGCAGGCTTTGGTTTAACGATTTCTTTTGGTTCCAGTTTATTTTAAATTTAACTTTCTGGTTTGATCCAGGTCAAATACTCCTGAATTGGGGCTTCAAAATTTCAAACTTGGCAGCTGAAGCCTTCACAATTTTGTGGTGCTTGCTGTTTGCCTGGAGGTTTCTGCTGCCCAAGCCGTTTCAGCTGTTCCAGCCATTCCAGCAACAAGAGGCACGGACGTCATGACCACAGAGGATGTTTGAGTGATTGATTCTTAATTCGCATGGTATCGAAAATTGAGCAAGCAGTCCATGCATGCGGGCGCATCTTGATGACACCAGTGTTGCACCTTCAACAATAATATTCAGCTGTATCACTGAATCAAAAATTGGCTTCTCAAAAAAATCGCGCTCTTCTTGTTTAAGCTGGCGCCCTGCCCCCCAACAGGCTTCACACCGTTTGACATCTTTGCTCCTTAAGGTGCCTTTTCAGGGGAATTGCTCAGGTTGTGGGCCGTGTGGTGAGGACTGCTTGAAAAAGGTTCAGACATGAATTAGTTAATTAATAATCATGACGTTTATTTGTTGCCAAACCATTTTGTCAGTCATTTGCACAATGCAAGCGCATCTTCCATGATTATTGCAGCTCAAGCAATCCAAGCTGCAGTCTTTGTGGAGGGTGGATCGAGAAATTCAAATGAATCTAGACTCTCAGACATGGCCAAGCACAATTTAAAACATAATTTGTTATACATACTTAGTATATAATAATATATAATAATAATAATGATAATAAGAATAATGATAATAATGATAATAATAATAATACATTAAATGATATGATATATCATAACTAATATGTGTATGTATATATATATATATAATGCCCCACCGTATTTTTCATGGTTACTTGCGCAATTATAATATGTTTGTGCTGTTGCCCTCGCCATGTCTTCTCTGGGTTTGCGATGGGGCCTTGGAAGGAAAGCCCCCAAAGCCAAGCCCAAGAATGCGCCCAAGACATCTTGTCAGCCTGCGGCGCGTGCGTTGCCGATGAAGGGTTTGGGCAGCCGATGGGGCCTCAGACCTGCAAAGTCCAGCAGAAGTCAGCCGTCTCAGCCGTCCCAGCCATCCCAGTCTGGCAGTTCCAAAAGAGCACAGGCCGATGATCCCGCGAAGCTTGTTGGCCCTGTGGGTGAGTCAGAAGCTCATCATTGTGCACGACATGTCAAAACTATTGCTGGGAAACAATGTGCGCGCTGCAAGTCTCTAGGCAAATTTTATTAATTCTTTTCCGGAATAGACATTCGTATCAATGCAACAGAGGGATGTTGAAAACAATTGAGCAAGATGCAAATTGTATGCTCGTCACATGGCTGGGCAATTTCAGTTGCAACAGCTGCAGCCATTGCATCATTGTCAACATTGTTTTAGCAATATGGTGTTTTGAGATGTCAAAAGGAAGAGAAATTGTGAGAGAGAGAGAGGGAGATGATCTAAGGTGACAGAGATGTGAAGAGATTGTTCTTCAACACACAGGTTGTCTTACTAATCCTATATAGGCACAGTCCTTATTTGTTCCTCTTTAATCTGGAATTTTGTACACCCAGATTTGCCCAGATCTTACTTCACCTGTTTGCATTTACATTTTTTCAAGTGGCTCGGCTGACATATTGCTGGAAATTTCGTTTGCGCGAGATCTTTTAATGGATTATCATCGGTTATTGTGCAGATGGATTCGCCTTCCTGCTGGCACAGGTTTGTCCGCTTTAGGGAGAAGTGGCAGAAATTAGGGACCTTGCGTCACAGTTCTTGGGGCAAACCATGTCGTACAGTCTGGCTAGCTGAAAAGCCTGTTCGTCGGGGAGGTGCTTGGGGCATTGGCTGTACCTTTTGTGCTTTTTTGGTAGATGAATTGGCCAAGCATCCTGAGGAGCGGAAGCGCTTGAATCTCGACTTATTTCAGTAACAGGGCACCATTTTCCTATTTGCAAAGCTAGGGCCACAGGAGCACCAGCTGTCCCAGCTGCCCCAGCTCAGTAGGAACATTTGGTGGAATTTGTTGAACCTGAGGCTTGGCAGCCGCTTTTCAACCAAATGGGGATCCTTTAGTGTGAATTCTTTGAAGTGCATGCAAGCTAGTTGCATACGTCAGCATGCAGATGGCACAGTGCACAGGGTTGCTCAGAACTATTTCCTGCAGCCCGACAAAGCCATCAGCGAATTGCTGCCATATGATTTGAAGGATCAGGATGTTTTTCGAGGAAATGTCCCTCAACCTCGAGATTGGCTACGTGCTTGGAATGCCTGCTTGAATCCGATTGCCTTCAACAATGCGGAGAAGCACTATGAGACGGAGGACTTTGCATCCGGTCGGGCATGCAGTGTTACCAGGAAATGTTCCCTGACTGATTGATTTTGGCCGGGTCATTTTTTCATCACATGTCTCACTGTCACTTCAATGTCTGTAGCCCAACCTTGCTGTGAACAAGGTTTGGCCCAGATGATTCAAGTCATGCACTGGGTGGTGCGCTCGCAGAGGAAGAAGTTGCTTTTGCTTGCAGAGTCCATATCCATCTCTGTGGACGATAGGGCTGATTTTCGTGTGATGCGTTACCGCTGCAGCTTCCGATCTGTGGAAGATTTTTGTCAAGCTACCCAAGCACAAGCTGCCTCAGCCGTCCCAGCTTCTCCAGCCGTCCCAGCAGCTTCTTTGTCCAAAAGTTCATCTTTGGAGGATTGGGCTTCCATGGAGCCATTGACCGCAGAAGGGTTGCTCGGTGTTCTGCGATTGGGACGGGATGTTTCCCAAAACAACATTGAGCAACATGACATGGACAAAAGTGAAAAGATGGCAGATACTGTGCTTGAGATATTGCAGGATGTTTGCAGCGACGCAGACGGAAATGTGGACAGAGAGGCCCTTGAGAGGATTTCTGGTCGCATTCAACATTTTGCCTCTGATCAGGGAGCTTCTGTTTTGAAGTGCGGCCAGGTCTTGACCCAGCGGCCTCAGCTTCCCAACCTGTTTTGGCTCAGTGCCGATGCAGCTCACCAAGTGCGGATTGCCACCCAAGATCCTTTGTCAGCCCAGGAGGGCTTCAAGCGACAGTGGGACCGATTGTTTTCAGAAAGGCATGCGCTAGTGCCTGACATTCAAAATTCCGAAGTTTGGAGATCTCGTTTGATTGCTGCTCAGAAGGTGGTGCTCCGATCCTGCCAGACCCAAGGTGCGGATGTCAACAAGGTGCTCCAAACCTTCAGCTTTGCAAAACAGAGGTTCGATAGCGTAGCAACTCCCATGCTCAAATATTGTTGCATGCTGCGCGCCATTGCATTGGTGTGTGCTTTGCAAGCAGCGGATGCCACTGGGCCATAGTTTCATTGAAGTTGTGATGCCTTTTTCCACTACTACGATTGGTTTCCTGCTTTAAACTTAATCATCGTTATAGCTACTTGGACATTGCAGGAGAGAGGTTCTCGAGAAGTTCGTGCAAGAGCTGCTGCCGCTCTGGAGGATATGACGCCAGCCAACCTCTTTCGCTGTGGCCTTACTTGCGATTACACCATGGAATGCCTGGCATTCTTGCGAGAATGCTTCGACATCGAAGATCCAGACCCAGCATGCACTCCTGAGTCAGTTCGTGCTTTTTGTGCCCGCATGAAGACTCTGTTCTGCCAAGGGTACATTTTAGGAAAGGTACCTGTTCAAGCAGACCCAGCCGTCCCAGCTGTCCCCTTTGTTCAGAATGGCTCCGACGCAAGGAGTGTCAGCCAGATTGTCTTTGAGCAAGTAGATTACCCAGAGCCGAGTCTTGATTTGTTGTTAATCAATTAGTTCAGCTTCATTCAAACAATACTTTTTGGGCAAGTCCCACGTTCTTTCTGTTGTTAGATTTTTAAGAAAGTTAATTCATTGGCGAGTTGGCCTAAGGATCTACTATGGGAGCAAAGTGCATTATTTGTGCACCAGTGCTGGCGTGAAAGACATTCGAGCCATCATGTCTGAGATGAGCATGGTGGTTGAGGACATGGTGGACAGAGTCCTGGTGGACCTAACGGGAGATGACCTTGGACAGTGCTTGCAAGTCTTCGATGTGATGTCATGGACCAAAAAGGATCAGACTGCTTTGCTGCAAAAGCGGATCAACACATTGGCCAAAGCCTTGCATGTGGATGCACGTGTGCGGGATGCTTTTCAAGGTGCCGCAAAGTTGCTTTTGAAGGTGGTGTGTGCAGCACAGGCCAACAAGCTGAAAATCTCCAACAGGCAGGCATGGACTTGGATTTTGTGCCTTGAATGGCGTGCCCGCTATTTCCCGCCTCATTGCAACACGAGGTTCTTGCCTGACTTGGAGAAGATGATTTGTTTCTACCTTGCTCTGAAGGTCAACACTACGACTCTCGAGCGAAATCTAGGGCAACTTTGCAACCAGCTCCACGCACACGCAGGACCAACTGCCCAGGATGGACGTCTCCTTTCAGCAGTGCTTCATGTGGCTCTGGATGGCCCTGGAACTGCCAAAGAATTGTTTGAAGTGAGAAAGGCTGAGTGTGCCGGGAGTGAAGTTGGCTTTACGCCAACTGGATTCAGCCTAGCATGTGGTAAGCTTTGGCTTGCCATGTACGGGAGACGCTTCCGCTACAAGTATGCCAAGGAGCCCACAAGCTGCCCAAGCCGTCCCAGCCGCAAACGAAAGGCACATGCTTGTAGAGGAACTTTTGAATGGGTGAAGAAGAAGCGAAAGGAGGCTGCCAGTCATTTGTGCAAAGTTGCCCAGGAACAGGCCTCCCAGGCTGCAGTTGACTCCTTTGTTCCAAATTTGGAGCTCCCACTGCCACATTCTAATGCCTCGGGCAGCAAGCAAGCCTTGTCCGGAACTCGTTGGCAAAGTTCTGCTTCAGCCAGCTCGGAAGAGAAAAAGCCCAAGAAGACTGCGAGTGAACTGTTCAGGGATCACACAGACCGAAAGCGAGCCAGTGCCTTGCATACGATTTATTGTCATTGAGGTGGCTTCTGGTTGGTCGATAGGTAAATAAATAATTAAATCAAATAGAAATATGGAAAGGATATGATAAGATGGATGGCCGGATAGATAGATAGATAGATAGATAGAGAGGTAGAAAGGTAGAAAGGTAGACAGGTAGATAGACAGATAGATAGATAGATAGATAGGTAGAAAAGTAGAAAGGTAGAAAGGTAGATAGGTAGATAGACAGATAACAGATATACATAGATAGATAATACATATATATATATGTATATATAGATAGATAGATGGATATATACATAGATACATAGATAGATAGATAGATAGATGATAGATAGATAGATAGATAGATAGACAGATAGGTAGATAGATAGATAGACAGATAGATAGATAGATAGATAGGTAAACAGACAAAACACTAGATAGATCATCGACTGATTTGATTGAGTCATTGGTTGATTAGTCGAGAGAGAGAGAGAAATAGGGTATAGTTAAGTTAGACAGATGACAGATAGGTGGAGATATAGCTAGTAATAGGTATATCGATAGATAGATAGACAGACAGATAGATAGATAGATAGATCGCTCGATAGATCGATAGGTAGGTAGATAGATGGATAGATGGATAGATGGATAGATGGATAGATGGATAGATAGATAGATAGGTGCCACCGATAGATAGGTGGATAGATAGATAGATAGATAGATAGATAGTTAGATAGATAGATAGATAGATAGAGGGATAGATAGATAGATAGATAGATAGATACATAGATAGATAGGTGGATAGATAGATAGATAGATAGATAGATAGATGGATAGATAGATAGGTAGATAGGTAGAAAGGTAGAAAGGTAGATAGACAGATAATAGATAGATAGATAGATAGATAGATAGATAGATCGATAGATAGACAGATAGGTAGATAGATAGACAGATAGATAGATCGATATATATATATAGACAAAACACTAGATAGATCATCGACTGATTTGATTGAGTCATTGGTCGATTGGTCGACAGAGAGAAATAGATTATAGTTAAGTTAGATAGATGACAGATAGGTTGAGATATAGCTAGTAATAGGTAGATCGATAGATAGATAGACAGACAGATAGATAGATAGATCGCTCGATAGATCGATAGGTAGGTAGACAGATAGATAGATGGATAGATGGATAGATGGATAGATGGATAGATGGATAGATAGATAGATAGATAGATACATAGATAGATAGGTGGATAGATAGATAGATAGATAGATAGATAGATAGATAGATAGATAGATGGATAGATAGATAGGTGGATAGGTAGAAAGGTAGAAAGGTAGATAGACAGATAATAGATAGATAGATAGATAGATAGATAAATAGATAGATAGATAGATGGATGGATAGATAGATAAATAGATAGATAGATAAATAGATAGATAGATAGTTAGTTAGATAGATAGATATATAGAGAGATAGTTAGACAGAAGCGATAGCAATGGTAAAATATAGAAGATAGAATAGATTGATAGACTCATGTTGCAGAAATTTATAACTAGGTAGAATAGACAGTGGTAGATAGGTTGGGCCGGTTTGAGGTATTGCTGGATTGGACAAATCGGTGAGAGAGAGAGATTGGGCAGATAGGCTAACTAGACACACTGGAAACAGTGGGTAGGCTGGATAGATGGTATAGAATCTGGATTAGCTAGACTAGTAGTAGATTAATATTATTAAGATGGGTTAGACAGATTAGATTAGGAAGTTTAGTTAAGATTACGTTAGATAATTTCATGGATTATTTAGATCAGATAGATTGGTGGATGGGTGGATAGATAGATCGATAGATCAATGCAGATGATTGTCCGATGCCCACAAAAAAGTGCAGCCCTTAGGACATGCAGCAGTGTCTCGGCGTCGGCAAGAAGGCAACCAACCTTACCTGCCCACTGAAGCGAAGAGTGGTGGCTTTGCACCCCCGACAGAGAAGCTGTTGCCAGATCACTTGCTGCAGGGCCACAGGACGAAACTTTCTCTGATCTATCGCCTTCTCAGCAAAGAGCCTCCCTCTTTTGCATGCCCAGTGGGATGTGAGATTGTCTCGACGATGGCCTTTGGACAGGCAGACGTGCTGGTTGTTGAGGATTTCAGCGATATTGATCTTAAGATGGACGAAAACACCAACATTGTCCCACACTTAGTTCTGTTCTTTCAAGCAAGTGTGCTTCCCATGTGGATGGCTGAATTTAGTGAGCTCTTAAAGGTTGCCACATTGTGAAGAGACAAGAGAGACAACTACCAAATGTTGTGGGAATGAGGGAATCTGAACGCATGTCCGCGAAGTTTTTCTTTCTCAAGGAACCATGCCAGCACCATTGAAGTTGCCCGCTTCCATTTGCAGATGGTTGGACAGCTGGGGGCCAGAGCTTTGCAGGGACTTGCAGGAAGCCTTGCACTCGGCAGCCAAACTTTGGCCAGAGTTAGGCGATAGCTGTCCCAGCCGTCCTAGCAGCACCAGCTTTTTCAACAATGTTGACTTGAGGGTTGGCACAGATTGCAGTGGCGTAGAGAGTCCCTTGCATGCTTTGAAAGCGTTAGGGGTTCGCTTTCAGCATGAGTTTAGCAGCGAGTCTGCACCGGCCCCTCGCAAAGTCATCGCAGCCAACACCCGGCCAAAGATCTTCATGGAAGATGTGCATTGCCAGGAAAAGCATCTACCACATGTAGATTTGTATGTATCCGGCTTCAGTTGCAAGCCTTTCAGCATGCTGCATTGGAAGACAGAACTTCTTCAAGAAGCTGAAGCAGAGGTATTTTTTTCTGTGCTGAAGAGAATCCAAGCAAAGCGTCCTGCTGCATACGTTCTCGAGAACGTAGAGGGGATTTCCCGATGCATGGATAAGATTTTGCCCCTGCTTGAAGATGTTGGTTACCAAGTTTCCGTTCTGAGCTTGAATCCAACAGAGCTGGGCGAGCCCGTCAACCGACCCCGAATCTACTTTGTGGGAGTCCGAAGTGACGTAGCCAAGCTGTCCAAGGAGCCGTCCCAGCTGTTCTACAAGCACATTTGGTCACACCTCACACAGAAGCGCTTGCACCGCAACAAGTGTGAATTTGGTTCAAGTCTCGTGCCTCTGTGGTGCAGGCTTTTGCCTGATGACAGTGACTTAGTTGCTGCAAAGCGTCAGGAGCGAATGCAGAAATGGGAGGATGCAAAGCAGCTTGGCTTTCCTGACAAGCGAGGCAAAACAAAGTGGAGGCAGAGGCACCAGGCTTGGTCAGCAGGTAAAGAACTCAAAGCCGTTGCTGAGGGAAATCTTCAGTGGGCAGAGCTATCTCCTGACAAACTTCATTTACACTTGCCGCGGGAGCGTGATGCCTGGTGGAGCTTGATTCAGACTTTTGACGAGCCTTGCAAAGTGGTGGCTGATCTTTCACAGAACTTGGATAGGATGCCATGCCGCACAGATGGTTCCTTGCCGACAATCACACCTGGGGCACATATAATGCTTGGCTGTGCTGGACGGGCCTTGCTTCCAGTCGAAAAGTTGTTGCTACATGCTTTGCCTTTGCATCGTATGATTCTACCAGATGGCATTTCCGATTCTGAGCTGGAGTCGATGGGAGGCAACATGATGCACTTACAAACGGTTGCTGTCGCAATGGCTGTAGCTTTGAGTTTGGTTGATTGGGCTCATCCACATGCTTTGCTGCCTACAGCCGTTCCAGCAGCCCCAGCAGCATTAGCAACAAAGCTCAGAAACTCCAAGACTAGAAGGCCTCGAAAGAGCACTGCAGAGAAGATGTTGGAGATGAAGTTGAAAGCTCGGTTTGGTTTCCACCAGAGAAAAGGAGGGACAAAGGTGTCCAAAGCAAGGAAGGCAGTAGATGTGAAGGCCAAATCCCGTAGAGGGCCAGCTTGCCTTCGTGGAACACGTTGGCATTCTTAGTGTTGCCTTCCACGAGTGATAGTGAATTCGATGCACAACATGCAGATTTTGCATTGAAATTAGTAGTGGCAGCATCCCTGCCACCACAATGAGATCAAATTTGTTTCTGGCTAAGCTAGATTGTCCAAGCAGCTTTCAAGCAGAAAACAAGCCCTGGCACGATCTTTCACCAGTTGTTTCAGCGTTCCTTTAGCATTTGCCACCACCTTGTGTTCTGAGGCTGCAGCCTTCCTCATCTGCTTTGCCAAGGGCCTGTGTGTGGCACGTCGCAAGGATGTTGAAACTGGATCCCGCGTCCACTGGAACCTAGAGAAGTTTTGGTGGTTGAAGCCGGCCATTCGTGCAAAGACCTTGAGGATACATTTGGTTGGCAGTGTTGCCAGGTTACTTGTTCATCCCCATCAGTTTTTTTTTTGATGGTGGGGCGGCTTAATCTCGCAAGATGTTTCCCGAATGCAGCCTGAAGATACGCAGGTCTCTTCTGCTGACCTCAGCATTCAAGTCTTGTGCTGCCAGTAGTGGGAAGCGTTGGACGTTGCTGATTGGCGAGGACAAAACAAATTCATCTTCCAAGAAGTTGAAGAGAGGAGTTACAAAGCGGATAGGTTCGATGGGAGACATGCGTAGTTTCTTGAAATTCATTAGGTTGTTCCGTCAGTCTCGGGGAGTGTTTGGTCAATTTGCCAAACCGAAGAGATAGCTGGCTCTACCCAGGAGCACAAGCAGAGCAGAAAAAGCGAGGGATAGCCTTTCGATGCCCCTTAGCAATACGCTCCAAGATACCAAAATCTGCTAGCGTATTAGCAAGTGCTTTGTCCATTGATTTCTACTTTTACTGTGAGTGTGTAATTGTTGATGGATCTCCATACTTTGTTATGCCCCCAAGCTCGCAAGATCCAAGGGCGTAATGGCATGTGCCAAGCCTGCTTCATTACACTATGTAGCTCATTCCATGGCTCGCAAGAGCTATCTTGGGAGAAGGTTTAGATGTGCATTCAAGGGTTGTTTTCACACATTCAAAGGTCAATGTAGCATGAGTATGCATTCAAAGGTGTTCAAGTGCATTCAAGGGTCTACCAATGCATCCAAGGGTCATCTTTGTGCATCCAAAGGTAAACTCACCCTGATTCACGTTGGCTCCCTTGCCAGGTGCTTCTCCATGGCTCCTGTGCCAGAGTCTGCAAGCAAGGCAGTGAAGCTTTGGATGCAGAGTCTGGAAGCTGGCTATGAAACACAGCAGATGAACAGAGTGGATAGGATAGCACACAAAGCCACTGGACAGAACCACGTGCAGTTACTTCAACCAACATGGCAAAGAAGTTTTTAGACACACGGGTCAGTGATGATAAGCGCGTTCATAGACTTGCATCACGTTGCTTTTCTACCAAGTAGATGTGTGGAAGTGACACTTTGGATGTCATAATGAGGCTGCAAAGCTTTTCTGGAACGAGCAAGAGAAGGATTTGATTCCCATGGTCCAGTTCCTCCTGCGAGATTTGCCTCAGCAGCGTTTGCCTAGCGCGGCTATGAGCAAAATTGGAAGCAGTCATGCGGGAAGATTCCATGCAATATTATCTTTCTGATTACAGTTCTTTTTACTAAGGCAGGTTGCTAGAGAATACAAAGTGAATAGATGGAGAGAGACAGAGAGATGGACAGACATATCAACAAATACAAAGGGGAATAGCAGACGGATAAGCATTTCCAATATGTGTATCCCATAATATCCCATAATTGCCTGGATTATGATACAATACAAGAATAGTTCAATGATCCGCCTAGGCTCTGGTGACGGCATACTTGCTGTATCGGGCCAAGTGTGTGGTTCCACCCTTGGCATCAGAGCCTTTGCATGTGACAAGTTGGGGTGATGGAAAAGTTTTTCCTTTGAAGCACATTCAATGTGACGTCAGCAAGATATAGCTGCCTGCAACAGCTGTCCCTGCTGTCCCAGCACTGCCAAACTGACAGGATCCTGGCAACATTGTGCTTCGTATCCTGAATGCTCCAAACCCATTCTTGACAATGAATGGCGCAGCGCTCACTTTCAAGCAGACGTGTCAAGGATGTTTTTTGCACCCGGTGTCAAAGGCAGTGGGATTCTTGTCAGGTTTAGACTTTAGGGGGCCGGCAGAAGCGCTCACAATAGAAGATGGTATGAGCGCATCAGATTGCGTTTTATTCGACTTTCCTCTGTTGATTCCATTTCCAATCTGGGCCAAAATTTAGCCAGTATGGTGAATAACAAAAAATAGTTGGCTCAAGACGTGGCAGCGCTGCTAATATATTATCATGGACCCATGATCCAGAACGTCTTCTTCATGCTTGGCCAAGCAAATTCTTCCATGCTCCCTTCCTTTAAAGAAAAATCAATCTCTTCAACTTCAGGGCCATTGTTTTTATTTCTATCTTTCTTTCTTTCGTTTTTTCTTTCTTTGGTTCTTTCTTTCTTTCGTTCTTTCTTTCTTTCTATCTTTCTTTCTTTCTTCACACTCTCTCTCTCTCTCTCTTTCTGTATCTTGCGCTTTCTTTGCGTCTCTCTCTCTCTATCTATCAGTTCTTCTTCCTTCATGTTTTTCATGTCTTCCTTTTTTTGACTACATCCTTTTTTGGGGGATCTCTCATCTCTGCCCCTCTCTCTCTCTCTCTCTCCCTGTCTCCGCGTTCTCCGTGCCCCTTCCTCCTGTCAACCCATCCATCACTGCAGCAGTGCCCCTTTATACTTGGGTCTGCTTGTGTCTCCGTTTTTTTTCTCTATCCGTTTCATCACCCTTGAATGCGCGTATTCAACCCTTAAGCGCAGAAGATCCATGAAGCTGCGCATCCAAAGGTCTTGAGGCTGCGCTGAAGGCTGTGCCAGCTAAGGCCATGCAGGGAATTCCTCCATGGACAGCGTTGCTAAGAAAAGGAAAGCACAGGTTGGAAAGCTCTTTGACCCTTTTATTTAGCAATAATTTAGAAGTACATTTGTGAGAGTGTTTGCGGCATGACGCAAGGAGAGGACAGACTCACTTCTCAGCTAGCATCTTTGCAACAGACTGCTTCGTTCAAGCGCTTGGATGCTTGTGAGCAACTGGGCATCTTCATCACATGCGTCTATTTGCGTAGTCCCCAGCTGCTCGGCTCATTGTTTTATCCGGCGAAGTAGGTAGCTAGTTTGCATCTCCAACTCAACAACAGGACCGCAACCACAACAACAACGACAACAACAACAAAAACAACAACCACAAGACAACAACAAGTACAGCTAGAGCAAAACTGCAACTACAGCAACAACAGCAAGTACAAGTACAAGAACAACAAACAGGACTACCACCAACCCGACAACAACAGAACTGCTGCTGGCATTGTTGTTGTTGTTGTTGTTGCTGTTGCTGTTGCTGTTGCTGTTGTTGTTGTTGTTGTTGTTGGTTGTCGTCTTCGTTGTTGCTGTTATTGTTGTGGTTGTTTGGCTGGTGTTGGTTGATGTTGGTTGATGCTGGCTTTTTTTTGTGGTTCATGTTGGTTCATGTTGGTTGATGTTGTTTTACGGTTGATGTTGGTTGATGTTGGTTGGTTGGTGTTGTTTGCTACTATATTCCTGCTAAGCTATACTCTGGGTCTATCCATCACTGGTGCTGCTACTGCTGCCAGTGCTGTAGCTCCACGCGCTGCTCGGACTTCCGCTTCTGATTCCCACAATGTTTTGCATGGTTTTAAAAACCTATTGCTCCTGCTACCACCACCACCACCATCACCATTTTATCCAATACTCAATTTTGGTTTTTATTTGTAGTTTATTGTTATGACTGCTACTAATACTGATGCTTACTATGGCTGCTTCTAAGAGTGCTATTGCTACTATTGACTGCTACTATGACTGCAACTTCTGCTGATTGTTTTACTAGGACTGCTACTATGACTGGTGCCAGTATGACTACTACTACTGCTGCTGCTGCTATTATTGTTATTGCTACTGCTACTGCTACTCCTACTGCTACTCTGATTGCTATTGCTGCTGTGCTCTATTTTCTACTGCTACTGCTTCTACTACTACTACTGCTGCTACTACGACTACTAGTAGTACTACTACTACTACTGCTACTACTACTACTAATTACTACTACTACTAATTACTACTACTAATTACTACTACTACTACTACTACTACTACTACTACTATACTCTCTGCTACTACTACTACTACTGCTGCTACTACTACTAGTAGTAGTACTACTACTACTACTTCTACTACTACTACTACTACTATCAAGACTACGACTACGACTACGACTACTACTACTACTACTGCTACTACTAATAAAATTACTACTACTACTACTACTACTACTACTACTAGTACTAATACTACTACTAGTACTACTACTAGTACTACTACTACTACTACTATTACTACTACTACTACAACTACTACTACTACTGCGACAACTATTGTGGCGATGACTGCTACTACTAATAAAATTACTACTACTACTACGACTACTACTACTGCTTCTACTACTACTACTACTACTACTACTACTACTCCTACTCCTACTCCTACTCCTACTATTGCGTTGATTACTTTCACGACTACGACGACGACGATAACGACTAACGACGACTAAGGACGACTAACGACGACTAACGACGACTAACGACGACCAAGTACGACTGACTACAACTAACTAGGACTAACTATGACTAACTACCATGACTAGCTAAACGACTAGCTATATGACTAGCTATACCACTAACTACTATCTACGACTAACTACGACGACTAACGATGACTAACTACAACTAAGTACTACGACTAACTTCGAGTACTACCACTAACTTCGACGACAACAACAACAACAACTACTACTACTACTACTACTACTACTACTAGTACTACTATGCTACTGCTACTCCTACTCCTACTCCTACTCCTCCTATTACTACTACTACTACTACGACCACGACGACGACGACGACGACTACTACTACTAATACTACTACTACTGCTACTACTACTACTACTACGACGATTATTGCGACGACGGCGACTACTACCTCTACGACGACGACTACGATGACGACGACTACTTCTACTACTACGACTACTACGACTACGGCTATGACTACGACTACGACTATGACTACAACTATAAGTACGACTACTACGAGTAAGACTACGACTACTATTTCAAGAGCGACGATGACTATAGCTAAGCTTAGGATTGAATATTGGCCAATACAACTTTGATTTTGACTAGGACTGCTACTACTGACTTTTCTACTCATCCTCCGACTCTTCTACTTCTTCTCCTACTCCTCCTCCTGTCACTGGTGCTACTGCTGCTTCTTGTTTCACTACCACTACTATTGCCACTGCCACTATCACTAACGCTACTACTACCACAACTAGTGCTACTACTGCTTCTTCTTGAACTTCTGCTTCTTTCTCTACTAGCACTGCTTCTTAAGCTACTACTAGCATTACTCATTCTTCTATGACTACTACCTCCACTACCTAGCCCATGCGCCTTTACCTGCCTTGCAGGTTTGCGGAGTTTCTGGTTCATCTTGCAGAGTCCAAACCTACCAGCGGAGCTTTCTCATTGGTGGGATGTTTGGTGGCATATTTCCGGGCCACAGAGGGGCCAGGCAACAGGAAAGCGTTTCTTCCATCACGATTGGTGAAGAAGAAGAAGAAGGCCAAGGCCAGTGAGGTTCTAGATCTTTTTTATTTTGTTCACTGCAGATGCGACCCCCATGGTAATTTGATTCTAAACATTGCTGTGGACGCAGCAGCATGACACGAAAACAATTAGTTGGCATAGTGCTGGCTGAAGGGTGAAAGAAGACGAAAGAAGAAGCGCCAGAAACAGAGATTTGGATTTGATTGTTTGTGCCAGGAATATCGTGTCCGGCCCAACCGAGATGTAGCACGGCTTCGTCTTAAGGATGTGTTGCAGATGGCTGCGCAATTCCTTGATGGGACCTTGCAGGAAATCATTTTGCGACCTTCCAGCTCTAGCCGTTCCAGCTGTCCCAGCCGTACAAGCAAAGAGCACTGGTGTGTGGATGTTGATCGGTTTTTTGATTGCATCGGCTTTACAAAAGTTGAATTTTCAAGGCACCAGAGACTTATTCTTGCTGGTGCTTTTTGGGCACGTTTGTTTCTTGTTGAGGCTTGGTGAAATTCAGTGTCCCGGCCACAAACTCATGCTCCCACACTTTGCTGAGAGCTTGCGTGAACTTGGCAGATTGGGCGGTGGGCTGGAGAACGGAGAAGTCGAAAGCCAGCCTTGGCCCTCAGACTAAAGATAGTAGCAATTCTTTTCTGGTCAGTGTTTCCCTAGCCTACCTTAAACTGTGTTTTCTCTGAAGGCTATTTTTATGACTTGTTGATTTATTTTTTCCCGCTGGAGTCAAATGGTTATGCTTATTTCTTTTGAACTTTTCGAACAACTAGTTCGATATATACGTATAATATATTGACTAAATGTTATATTATATTTGAATATACATATATATATACACATATGTATCTATGTATATATATATACATATGGCAATATATATAATATATATATTTCGAATATATAAAGTCATACATACATATATATATATATACATATATGTACATTTTCTCTATTTATACATACTATAATGATGTAAAGAATAAATCAATATTTAAGTAAATAAACATTTCTATGCATTATATATATACATTATGTTTTATATAAATATTATATTTAAGTATAAAATATAAATATAAAATACACATGATATATATATATATATATTATATATCTATACATACAACTTTACTGATGCTACTCTAAATCCACTGCCGCAGTGGGCAGTTGCGTCCAAGGAATGGTCCATTTAGCAAGTTCTTTGGCAAGTGGGCTGGCATGAGCCCAGATCAGGTACGCGAGGAGGTGCTTCAGAACTTAGAACCGTTTGCGCGCTTCAAAGGTGTTCAGGAGCTTCATGACAAGCTTTCATCTGGTTCTAGTGGGGAAGCCCTGGTGCTTATAAATGCATGCAAATGCGTCCACGTGATGAAGAACTGGTGCTTCCAATCCAGAAGCAGCTAGACTGAAAATTGCATGGCAAGCAGCTTCCTTGTGCTGACGATTTCTTGCCTATTTTTTTTTACTGCTTGACAAGGTAACTGGTGGCAAAGCGAGGTTCCACAGATTGCACCGCGAGTCCGTCGCTTCCTGGACTGAGTTTGCAATAGTAGTACTTTATTTGTTCACTTTTGGACTACCACAGTGTGTAACCTGATACAGCAGAATCGTGTGGCAGGAATAGCTGTCCAAGCTGTCCCAGCTATCTAAACCAGCAGAGGCCCAGAAGAAAAACAAGAAGCATTTGCATGGATTGGATAGGAACAAGCGAGCTTGTTTGTGACCCTTTCAGTGAGGATTGTTTTTTATTTTCCACTTATGTTTACTTGCATGTTTTGCCTGGGCCAAGAGCAGGATGATGCGGGACATTTTCCTGTGCGCGTTGACTGGCTTGGAGCTAAGCACATCTAAGATTTTTTCACAAGATTGCGCCAAAGTTGTTAGAACACACCATCTGGAAGCTTCTCAAATTTCAATGCATTCGCATGTGGATCCAAGAGAGCACAACTTGCCCGCAGCTCCAGCTTTTCCTGCTTGCTGACAGCATATTTTTCTTCTATTTCCGATGGCATGGGCGACTGTGGGGTACCATGCTGTGGAGCAGAAAGTCTTTGATGCGGCAGTGCGGCAAGAGTCTGAGGGAGATTGGTTCTGTGGCATGTCTTTGCAAAGCTGGTTTGCTACGCCTTTGTGTGCAATCTCACAAACACGGAAGGAAAATGTCCGCAAGTTGGGGCTGTCTCTGTCAGAGACAGGTGACCCGCCAAAAGGAAAGGTGAACAAGCGCTTGCCAGGAAAGACTGTCGTTGATGCAGCCTTGGAATGCCCGAACTATGTGGTGTGGCGCCTTCAGACCACGGAGAATATCGCAGAGCTTCTGTCGCAGGGTTTTTTGAGAGCTGGCAAGAACAAGTTTGAGCTGCGGAATGGCTTGGAGCCATTCTTGCCTTTCGGCCAAGCAGACAAATGGCACGTTGATTACGCGTCTCTTGTCAGCACTTGGCAACTTTTTTTCTTCCCCCTACTGGTATGGATGGGACCTGCACTTCCTGGAAAGAAAAAATCATCTGTTTGCCAAGGCCGGCCACAATCTTGCCCACCCTGTGCGACAAGCCAAACAGCACAATGTTCTTTGGAGGCGACGCCAAGTTTGCTTGCTCTTACTTCCTTGCGCTGCCTGTGGCTCACCCGAGCATCAGCCTTCCAGAGTTGCTCACAGTCAGTCGAGCAGCTCCTTTGCTGAAGCTGTTGCTCCACAATGAGAAATCGGAAGACATGAAGATCTTGCTTGAGAACTGCATGGCAGACAGGGGAGACTACATTGGTTTACCATTGGTGTCCAGCCCCATCACAGCCATGATCATGGGCTTCTTTGCTTACAAGCCCCCAACAGAGCAAGAGCAGAGCTTGTGCCAGCAGCCGTCCCAGCTGTCCAAGCCGTCCCAAAAGAGCGAGCCTCTTCACTTGTTGCATTTTAGCGCAAAATCTTTGATTGACTTGCAGCCGCCGAACTCTCATCCGCTTTGCCCCTTTTGGTTGTTCAAGCCGAATGGCTTGATTCAGCGCATAGCCAAAGAGGAGGTGAAATTGAAGGTGCAGAAGTTCTACATGGAAGTCAATTTGAATGCAGAGTACCAGCCTCAGTCCAGTTTGCTGCAGCGCAATGAGAAGGCCAGGACTTTGAGTAAGAAGCGCAAGCTCCAGGAGGACATCACAGAGTTGGAAGCAGACATCCGGGACAAGAAGTTGGAGATTAATGAAATTATGGGGCGCCTTAAGTCCATGGAAGAGCCCTGTCCTGAGCCTATTCTTCCAACGGCCTGCCCTAGCAACGCTGAGGCCTAAGTGTTAGGAGACAGCAGGGGCTGAAGAATCACCAGCCTTTCTTTTAAAACCTCTTCGTGGGTTTTCTTCACCATGAACATCTGATGAAGGATAAACTTTGCTTGAAAGAGGAGAAAATGAACTGCCGCGCATCTTCTTCGCCGCATGCTTTAAAATCCAATTTTGTCACAAGTTGAATCACATGCACTGCAGAGAGTGCGAGTATGGATATGCGTGCCATGTTGGCAGGGTCATCATTTTGACCCATCATTAATCATATGTGAATAAATCCCACACTAATGAACCACCTTGATGCAGCTGTTCCAGCTGCCCCAGCCGGTCTAGCAGCTCTTGGTCATGGCTTGCCCTGAACCTCCCAGTGATCTTGAGGTGCAGGGCCCAGTATGCCTTGAAACATTATGTAGTAGCCATTCCATCAGATCAGCACCAGCATCGAAACGCCGCATCATTTTTAGTCTTGATGCAGGCCGGTAGCAAGACTTACATGGAGAAGTTGATTCCATGGGCCCCGCGCTCAATATTGAAAACACCTTAATTAAAGTCAATTGTCACAATGTTAGCATTTTCACCCATTCTTTCTACCAATTTCAGAATGCACCAGCTGCAGCTGCTGCGGATGTTCTTGTAGGTTCGCACGAACTTGCCGAAGAAGTTCACTCCTGCCAAAGACATGCACAAGACTAGCCCATTGGACATTTCTGTGGACGTGAAGGAGAAGGATGCCTCAGCATATAAGGCAAGATTGGCAAGACTTTACATATTTTTGCCCTTGCTCACTTTCATTGCAGCAGAAATTGCGGCAAGTTTCTCTTCCTATTAGTGCCCTTGTGTCCAAAACGAAAGAATCATTCATAAAGTGTTGCTATGGGTGCCCTTGATTGCACTTGCAGGCACCTTGGACTGCTGAAGCATGTTTGGCCGCCATGAAGTCAAGCGGAATGTACGAAGCTGCTGGATTAGCCTTGTGGTTGCGGACAGGCGTTTGGTCTTTGGCAAAGGATCGCGATGTGGATCCTGGCGATGTCAGTTATGCCGCCTTGACCCGGTTTGCAGACATTTATTTTTCCAAAACTGTCAGCTTGAAGACGTATGTGACACGTGAGGGCAAGAGACAGAAGCCACGTGACAGACTGGTGTGGCCCGTGCCCATGGTGTGCACTTGTGAGAACATGCCTGACTGAGCTGGACAAGAAGTTCTTTGAGGGCAGCCTCAACCTTGTTGGCTGCCACTTTGTCCTTTGGAGTTGGTACGTTGCTTTGGCAGCTGCTCTGCGCAACAATGTTGCTTGGATGAGCTTTCAATACGCAGCAAGCTTTCTGTTTTTTTCCCAGCTGCCTTTGCTGTACCAGCTGTTCCTGCTATCCTCCCATCCAGAAACTAATTTAACAGCTGCAACTCAGGACAAGGACTGGCTTGCATTGCTTTGGGAAGCAGGCCTCAGTGTAACGATTCAGGTGCGATACTGCCCTGATATGATTGACTTTGTCAAGGCTCGCAATCAAGCCTCTGAAGGCCTGAAGGCAATCAACGATGTGAACCTCTCAGAAACATTTGCGCAATTTGCCCTCTTAGCGAAGCAGCTCAACGTGGAGAAAGAGGCAGATGGAGCTGCACACGGGTTGAGATTCAACAACTCACCCTACAACGCGAGCATGCACAAAGCAGCCATGGGAATGATTTTCTTGCTAGAGGGTGATGGAGGTTTGTTTCAGAAGGCTATGTCCAAGCTCGAGCTGGCCTATGGTCGTGAGTTCTTGTCGAACGCATATTCAAAGCTCAGCCGCTTGGTGTCGCTTTGCAAGCAAGCTGCAACAAAGGAGAACCCCACTCACGCTGTGGCTGCCTGGCTGGTGGGGATGCTGCACTTAGCTCTGAGACTGAAGTTGATTTCAGCGAAGCAGGCCACGGAAGTGTGGCTTTTTGGTGACCGCAAGCATGGCAGCAGTGGTTTCTGTCAAGCGTGTCTGGTCGTCAAGGAGGCATGGCAGCTGAAATGTTCCAGTCATTGATTTAATTAACATTAAAAAGGAATGCAGTAGGCAAGCGAAACTGCTCCCTTGTGACTAGCTATATGCTTTTGCCTATCACCTTGCCTGCCGTGAAGATTTGTGCCTACTTTTAATGCCTATTAATAATTTATATATTGCCTGGTGTGCCAACATGGCCACATGCAGGCCTTTGACTTTGTGGCGCCATTGCTACAGAAGCTGCCTGAGCAAGAAGCCCAGAAGTGTGCCACAGTCGTTGCCGACATCTGCAAGCCAGAGCAGTGCTGGTTGGATTTCTTCGTTCCAGAAGCTTCTGAAGCCGGGATTCTCCAGGAGGAAGGCGAAGAGCAGGAAGAAGCACCAGCTGCCATACTTGGGGCCAATAAGTTGAACTCGTTGAAGGCTGAGTTTAACAAGGCAACTGGCACATTGCTTGAGCTGTTGGTTGACTTGATGCGAGGTGAATATCTGGCAGACTGCCGCACGCTAGCCAAAGAAAATGTGAAACTGGCACAGGCAGTATCTGAAGTAGCCGTCCAAGCTGTTCCAGCCGACGACCAGCAAGATTCATCAAGTTGTTCCTCCTTAGGCTTTGTGAAGAACCTTTATTTGGTGGTCCAAGCTTACGACACCAACACAAAGAGTGTCTCACTGGCAGCGCCATTGCCAACGCCTAGCTTGATTCAGAGTCTCAACCCCAGCATTTCTTCAGAACAAGATGCTGCAGACAGAGCGCGGGCTTGGAAGCAAGTCCAATCAGAGCGCCGCAAGTTTGTCACTTTCTCTGTGGTTCCAAAGTATACGAAAGAAGCGCTCAACAGTGCTTTCCGGAACAGTGGAAAGGTTTGGGCACACAAGGGCGATCTCAACACTTCCCATCGCCTTATAGTTGGCTCAGCAGATTTGGTCACAGAAACATCTCAGGAGCCTTGGCTCACCCCATCAGCTCCAGCGGCAGATGCTTGGAAGGCAGTGGCCGGGTTTTGCGTGGGCCTCGCTGGCAATACAGATTTCACCTTCCTTTTCGACGGGCGCATGAGAGAGATTCGGCGGATCCATGCTCCTTGTTTGGATGAAAAGAAGCTTCCGCTGTTTGAACCTGCCTATTGATTTATCAACTAACTTGGAGCGTCTAGTTCACTGTCAATAATAATCCTTGTCTCATGCTTGGCACTGAGGAAGATGTGGTGCTGACGCAGACCCAGACAGAAGAGCTGTTCGTCATCTACAGTGGCGGGTGTTTGCCGCGTGCGGGGCGTGTGAGACGAGTGCCCTTGGCAGCCCGAAAGGTGGAAACGTGTGCCTTGCGGTTTCCCGCTCAACGCACAAAGATCCGAACAACGAAGAAAGAGAACTTTACCTCTTGTGGAGAAGCCACCACCTATCAAGGGACCTTTTCTGGCGTGACCTTCCGCCCTGTGAGTGAGCTGCCACTCATCAATGCGGATGACAAAAAGAAGATCTTAGTACCAGCCAACCAAGCTGTCCAAGTGCCAGAGACATGGAAGGAATCACATGCTGAAGACGTGCCATTGTTTTGGCAAGAGTGTAAGCCGATTGAATTATATCTGGCGTTGCTGGATGAATTCAAGGGTCAGGCAGTCTTGGACCTCACAGCAGGCTCAGGGGCCCTCATGGAAGCTTGCCTGACCCGCGGAGTGCAATATCACGGGATTTGCCTCAATCGCGACCACATGACTTGGCTCCAAGCAGTGGCGGAATGGGGTGCATGTGGCCTGATCTCCATTGAGGGCTCCACTTTGTTCGGTGAAGAGCTGGCCAAGCTGGTGAAGCATCATTTTGCTGACCTACTTCAGCGTCTGGTCCCAACAGATGACGGTGCAGAAGAGCTACTCGAGCCTGCCAGTGATGACGACGCAGCTTGAAGACCAGCCGTCCTAGCTGTCTTAGCCGTCACAGTTTTGTTACAATAAGATAGATAAGAAGCAAAGACTTTGTGGTGCCGGGCAAAACACTGCATGCTTGGATATTGCTGGGGGGTTCATGCTTGGATGATTCAATTTTACCTTTGAATGCAGATTCTTGCCATTTCCTTGCGTTGAAGGGTGAAAAGTGAGCATCCAAAGGTCTAATGCAATTTTATTCCCTACATTGACTACCATTTTTGATAGTGCTGAAAATTAAAGGCCCAAGACCCCAGCTGTCCTAGCCGTTCTAAGCAAAGACTCGCAGAGCCCAATGGCTGCGGCTGCAGTGGTGCCACGCTTCCGGCTGACCTTCAAGCAGCCTCTTCAAAGCGGGAAGTTGGCCAAATCAAAAGAAGCAAAGCGTTCCAGACCGTGCTGCAAAAGGAAGGCAACGTCACGAAGAGTTGCTGTTTCTGAGGGGACAGTGCCCAAAGCTCGCAATGCTTTTGCACTTTTTATGAAACAGCACAACACTGCGAAGAAAGGCGCCAGCAAACAAGAATTCCAACATGAAATGCAACGCATTGCCAAAGCTTGGGCAAAATTGACACAGTCTGAGAAGAACACCTACAAGGAAAAAAGCAGATCGGAGTTCACTGCACAAAGAGACGCCATGAAAAGGCATGGCTTGCCCACGCGCCGCATGCAGAATGAAACCGTGCCAAAGCAGCAGTCACAGCTGTCTCAGCTGTCTCAGCTATCCACACAACCTGTGGAAGACCAGGACCAGGCGCTCCTCAGATTTGGGAAGATCACGGTGATGCAAGGTGAGCTTCCTGTTGGTGAAGGCTCTTACGGGACTGTGCTGAAAGGCCTCATGCCCTATGGCCGCTTCTGCGCTCTGAAGATCTTCAAGGGCAGCAAAGCTATGATCTCCTTGAAGCAAGAGGTTCTGATTTTCAATCAAATCAAAGACAAGCTTCAAGAAGGAATGCGGCAACTCTTTCCTTCCTTGTTGGAAGTCGAATGCAAACCGCAGCCGTTCCCCTACTTGGCTTTGGAGTTTGCTGGGTCAAGCGTGTCCCAAGTGCTCATCCAAAATGGTGCTTTCACTGGAAGTGCAATGCAGCGCCTAGCCATGCAGCTTAGAGCTGCCCTGCAAGCTTTGCACAGCATCCGCATACTTCATTTGGATCTCAAACCGGCCAACATTCTGTGGGTCCAGGAGACTTCATGCATGAAACTAGCGGATTTTGGAATGTCTGAGATGATGGGGATTGAAGCTGCCTCGATAAGGTTCGATGGATATGTTAGTGCTCCTATAGACCACCTGAGCTGTGGAACACATCTTCCGGAGACATTTGCGAGCATCTGCGCCCATGCGTCGACATTTGGTCATTTGGCTGCGTGCTTTTTGAGTGTGCTACAGCATCCCCTCTTATGGCACCTCTTCCTCCAGCTCGCAGCTGCAATCATAGTGTGAATGCATGGTGCCGCTCATGGGACGGCTTGCGCCAAGCACGGATGATGACAGAGCCAGCTGCTCGAAGATTGCAGGCTCGTATGTTGAGGTCTGGACCATGGAGAGAACATATTTTAGAATGTTTAAATCCTGACCCTGCTTCTCGAAGATGGAGTGGGCCAACACATTGAATGGAGCCAGCCGCTGCTATGCCTAGTGTAGTGTTCATGAGCAGGGTTGCTTCCCAACTTGTTTCGAAGCGGGGTGTTCGGATTGGGAAGCCTGGGGTTTACTCATGATGGTTGAACTAGCTTAGCCGTACCAGCCATGCCAGCTGTGCTAGCGACAGTGCCCGGACAACTTAACGTTCAAAAATACGCAGCTGCTGCAATGCTCATTCATTATCGAAGTCACGCATTGTGATTAATCCGCCCATGTTTGATTTTCATATGAGCGCATCAGCCTTCTGCTTGCCAAGGTGGGTCTTCAAAGGTAGCAGCTGCAGCGGCGGCGACAAACTTATGCGTGGAAGGGCAAGAACCGAAAAGAGCGTCTTCTACACGTTGCTGTGGACGACGGTGGCTAAAAGGTTAAATATTGGTAAATTTACTCAATTCCCTTAATATTTTTCGGGACCGTTGAATTGCCAACCTAGCTACACTACATTACACTACACTACATTACACTCAATGACACTGCACCACAGATAGACAGGTAGACAGAGAGACAGACAGATAGATAGATAGATAGATAGACAGATAGACAGGTAGACAGCTAGACAGATAGACAGATGAAAGAGAGAGAGAGAGAGATAGATAGATAGATAGATACATAGAAGATAGATAGGTAGGTAGGTAGATAGTCAGAGAAAGAGAGAGAAAGAGAGGAGACATCAATCACCTTTCGATCCATCAGTGGATTCGCTCTGCCATCCCTGATTCACAACAACCAACCTTTCCTATAGGTTTCCTATTTTTGAAACTTCCGCCACCGCCTTGTGCGGTACTACTGGTAATAATGATGGTGATAATAATAACAATAGTAATATCAAGTAATATCTAATAAAATGCAATATAAGGTGAAAATCTACCCTGCCACGGATATCCACTGCCCTGTTTTGGTTGCCCAGGCGCAGTTTGAGCAAGACAAGAGCAACTGGTGCCAAAACCTGAGAACATGCATAGAGCCACAGAGAACTGTAGAGCATCGTCGAGCATCGTCGAGCATCGTGGAGCTTTGAGTGGAGCTTGGGGTGGAAGTTTGAGTGGCGTGTTGCCACAAAGTTGCTGTGAGCATTAGCCGTGCAGGATGAACCAAAACAATTGGCGCAATGGGTGCGGCGCTTACCAGACTCTGATTGGACTCAAGGCCTCGCATTGTAGAAAACTGATGAAAATTGTAGTTTCTGATTCTGCATCGTTTTTCCCCACATCTTTGTGTGGGGTTCTTGTTTTTGGTTCTGCATCCCGTCCGCCGCCTCCTCCTCCCGCTCCCGTCGCCTCCTCCCGTCACACACAACTTGTGCTCACACACAACTTGTCCACACACAACTTGTCCACACACCACTTCTCATCACACCACTTGTCACACCACTACTTGTCCACACACAACTTGTCTTCACACTACTTGCCCACACACAACTTGTCATCACGCCACTTGTCTTCACACTACTTGTCCACACACAACTTTGTCCACACACAACTTGTCATCACACCACTTGTCATCAGACCACTTCTCATCACACCACTTGTCATCACACCACTTGTCTTCACACAACTTGTCCACACACAACTTGTCATCACACAACTTGTCATCAGACCACTTGTCATCACACCACTTGCTCCCACACAGCTTGTCATCACACAACTTGTCGTCACTTTGCGTGGCAGGCGTGGCACGTATGGCACTGGGCTGGCTCTGGTGGCGCGCTCGGTTCCCACGTGCCCGGGTGGACGCCGCGGCTTTTTGCGTGGCAGGCATGGCACTTGGAGACATTCATCTTCGTTTCACGTGGCAGGCGTGGTACTTGGTGACATCCACCTTCGTTTCACGTGGCAGGCGTGGCACTTGGCGACATGGATCGTCACTTTGCGTGGCAGGCGTGGCATGTATGGCACTGGGCTGGCTCTGGTGGCGCGCTCGGTTCCCACGTGCCCGGGTGGACGCCGCGGCTTTTGGCGTGGCAAGCGTGGCACTTGGAGACATTCATCTTCGTTTCACGTGGCAGGCGTGGTACTTGGTGACATCCACCTTCGTTTCACGTGGCAGGCATGGCGCTTGGCGGCGACATGGATCGTCAGTTTGCATGGCAGGCGTGGCACGTATGGCACTGGGCTGGTTCTGGTGGCGCGCTCGGTTCCCACGTGCCCGGGTGGACGCCGCGGCTTTTTGCGTGGCAGGCGTGGCACTTGGAGACATTCATCTTCGTTTCACGTGGCAGGCATGGTACTTGGTGACATCCACCTTCGTTTCACGTGGCAGGCGTGGCAGGCGTGGCACGTGGCGACATGGATCGTCAGTTTGCGTGGCTGGCTCTGGTGGCGCGCTCGGTTCCCACGTGCCCGGGTGGACGCCGCGGCTTTTTGCGTGGCAGGCGTGGCACTTGGAGACATTCATCTTCGTTTCACGTGGCAGGCGTGGTACTTGGTGACATCCACCTTCGTTTCACGTGGCAGGCGTGGCACTTGGCGACATGGATCGTCACTTTGTGTGGCAGGCGTGGCAGGCGTGGCACGTATGGCACTGGGCTGGCTCTGGTGGCGCGCTCGGTTCCCACGTGCCCGGGTGGACGCCGCGGCTTTTTGCGTAGCAGGCGTGGCACTTGGAGACACTCATCTTCGTTTCACGTGGCAGGCGTGGTACTTGGTGACATCCACCTTCGTTTCACGTGGCAGGCGTGGCACTTGGCGACATGTATCGTCAGTTTGCGTGGGAGGCGTGGCACGTATGGCACTGGGCTGGCTCTGGTGGCGCGCTTGGTTCCCACGTGCCCGGGTGGACGCGGCGGCTTTTTGCGTGGCAGGCGTGGCACTTGGAGACATTCATCTTCGTTTCACGTGGCAGGTGTGGTACATGGTGACATCCACCTTCGTTTCACGTGGCAGGCGTGGCACGTGGCGACATGGATCGTCAGTTTGCGTGGCAGGCGTGGCACGTATGGCACTGGGCTGGCTCTGGTGGCGCGCTCGGTTCCCACGTGCCCGAGTGGCCGCCGCGGCTTTTTGCGTGGCAGGCGTGGCACTTGGAGACATCCATCTTCGTTTCATGTCCATACACAACTTGTCCACACACAATTACTCACACGTACTCTTCCACACACAACTTACTCCACACCAATCCTTCACCATCTCTTTTCTCTTTCCTGCTTTCCCCATGCCATCTTTGCTGCTTGTTGGAAGAAGTTGACATGTGGGGTTATCCGGTCCTTTAATTGTTTTTCCCCAGAGGCAGAACACCTCCATCAGGACTGAAATTTGCTTCAGACGGAGATGAACAATTCAGGGATAGATAGAATAAGAAAGTGTGAGACACATAGTGAAATAGAATGAAATAGACCCATCAACTTCAATTCAATTCCCGAGAGCGTCTGAGCGCAGGGTTCTTCCAATAGTGGGGGTCTGTAAAACATCTTCTCATCTTCACATCTCATCTTCACATCCTCTCATCTTCACATCTGCTCATCTTCACATCCTCTCATCTTCACACCTTCTTTCACATCTTCTCATCTTCACATCTGCTCATCTTCTCATCTTCTCATCTTCACATCTTCTCATCTTCACATCTGTTCATCTTCACATCCTCTCATCTTCACATCTGCTCATCTTCACATCCTCTCATCTTCACACCTTCTTTCACATCTTCTCATCTTCACATCTGCTCATCTTCACATCTTCTCTCACATCTGCTCATCTTCACATCTGCTCATCTTCACATCTGCTCATCTTCACCCCTTCTCTCACATCTTCTCATCTTCACATCTGCTCATCTTCACATCTTCTCTCACATCTCTCTCACATCTTCTCTCACATCTGCTCATCTTCACATCTTCTCTCACATCTTCTCTTACATATTCTCTCACATCTTCTCTCACATCTCACATCTGCTCATCTTCACATCTTCTCTCACATCTGCTCATCTTCACATCTGCTCATCTTCACACTTCTCTCACATCTGCTCATCTTCACATCTGCTCATCTTCACACCTTCTCTCACATCTGCTCTCCTTTTCTCTCTCTCGCCTTCTTCTTTATCTTTCTCTCTTAAGGCCGAGGGTGGTGCCGGCGGCGAGTCACGAAACGCAACCCTTTCGCACGAAATGAGGGTCGATCGGCAAAAACTGAGGTAAAATTGCGATTTGACTTGCCCCGGAGCAACCCTTTCGCACGAAATGAGGGTCGATCGGCAAAAACTGAGGTAAAATTGCGATTTGACTTGCCCCGGAGCAACCCTTTCGCACGAAATGAGGGTCGATCGGCAAAAACTGAGGTAAAATTGCGATTTGACTTGCCCCGGAGCAACCCTTTCGCACGAAATGAGGGTCGATCGGCAAAAACTGAGATAAAATTGCGATTTTACTTGTGCCGGACTTGTCTGTGTGTAAAAGCGCCTGTTGTGTAAAAAGCGTCTGTGTGTAAAAGCGTCTGTGTGTAAAAGCGTCTGTGTGTAAAAGCGTCTGTGTGTAAAAGCGTCTGTGTGTAAAAGCGCCTGTGTGTAAAAGTCTCTGTGTGCAAAAGCATCTGTGTGTAAAAGCGTCTGTGTGTAAAAGAGTCTGTATGTAAAAGGGTCTGTGTGTAAAGCGTCTGTGTGTAAAAGGGTCTGTGTGTAAAGCGTCTGTGTGTAAAAGTGTTTGTGTGTAAAAGCTTCTGTGTGTAAAAGCTTCTGAGTGTAAAAGCCTCTGTGTGTAAAAGCGTCTGTGTGTAAAAGCGTCTGCGTGTAAAAGCGTCTGTGTGTAAAAGAGTTTCTGTGTAAAAGTGTTTGTGTGTAAAAGTGCCTGTGTGTAAAAGCGTCTGTGTGTAAACGTATCTGTGTGTAAACGTGTCTGTGTAAAAGCTTCTGTATGTAAAAGCTTCTGTGGGTAAAAGCTTTCTGTGTAAAAGTGTCTGTGTAAAAGCTACTGTGTGTAAAAGCTTCTCACTATTTGGTCTTGATACTCCTCTTCTCGACTGCCTATAACACATCTTTCATACATCGTTTCTAAAATTGCGTCTCCATACTAACAAGAGAAGACCCTGCTCCTCTACGCTCTCGGGCCATCCGTCGTCTAGTTTTACTATATATACTAGATGAAATAAGAGACATGGTGCTGCTTAAATTTTTGATTATTTTTGGAGCAAACTTCTCTGAGCCAGAGGAGCTCCTGGATCTCACCCAAGAAAGGGCCTGGAGCTGAGACAATACGGATATTGATGAGGCAAGAAGGATGTTTTCATTTAGTTCACATGCCACAAATGCCACAATGTTTTCTTGCTTTCGAGTGTGTGTAGCCTACTTGGAGTCGATTGATGATCTTGTTTTTTAAGGATGGTTTGCTTGGACAGTTGGTCTGTACCCTAGCTCGCTGCGGCTCACTATTCTTGATTGCGCGCGGTTTGTGGCAATCAAGGCTGATGCGCAAACAGCGACAAAAAAAATGCAAATGGAGCTGGCGCCTAAGCAGCGCCTGGGGTAACTGGACGCGAGGCATACCTTGAGGCAATGCGTGGTGGGCTAGTGATTTATAGACGCGTCCATAAACACATTCTGCATAAACGAACTTTGTCAAAGACTTTGGAAGCATAAAGCAACACTGTATGTGCGTCCATCTGCCATGGCCAAGTCCCCGCCAAGCAAATTGCATAGGCTAGATGCAGAGGCTTCATTCTTGTACGCTCCGCTTTACATTACATTGCCCGGTGCGTAGAGTGTAGAGGTTGAGATCTGGTTTGCGTTGCTCCACCAGCGCGATGCCTTCATCGGCGCATCATAAGCTTTGCGTTCGGTCATTGTTGCTTTCAGTTCTTTGAGCAACGCTCAACGGGCATGGGCCGTGTCCACACAGCGTGCTGTCTGTTGCCATTGGAACATATTGGTTCCTTTCAAGTCGAGAAGAAGTTCCAAATGAAACACAGCGAGCAAAGGAACAAATTTGACAAATCGATGCATGGGAATCCAACATTCACGTTCATTCAATATCATTCAATTCTGTTTTCACGTTCGTTGTGATTTTTGAGGCTGGAGAGTCTCCGTCGGAGAAGTGCTCAGTCTTCGCCTCAGAGGCATTTGGTCAGGTGGGTGAAGCAGCCAGGCAGCGATAGGAAATCCTACGAAAATCCTATGCCTCTATGCTTGCTTCATCTGGCTTCATCTGGCTTCTGAGTGCTTCTGTCCTGAATTGCTAAACTGTGCTCAGGTTCGAACGAGTTATCTGCGGCAGGCAACCAAGACATACCGTACCAAGCACCAAGCAAGGCAGTTCATACAGCGGATTTTAATCAATTGTCCACGTCAAAAAGCACATAGTGGCAGAGTTGATTGGGAAGGCAAGGAATCTTAGGTGACCAGGTGCCCATGGATGTCATCGGTGAGAATGGGGATTTGAGAAGTCAGTTGGATACTCAGAAGACGAGCACCACTTTTTAATATGATCAAAGCACACTGTATACACTGTCCCTTCTGATGATTTTGTATGATTTTGTAAATTATTTTGTATGTATTGAGTTTAAAATTACATAAATTACATTGCAGATGCTTGCACGTGCTGAATCCTTCAACGGGTTTTCGTGGGCCGGTTTTGCTATGCTTTGTTTTTAGGTCATTTGTGTCCAGTTGTGCTTGCTTCATTTGAGTGGAATAGGACAGGTTTTTCCTTGTGCAGCTGGACACTCCGAAACCAAGTGTATCCATTGTTTCCTTCTACCTTGCCCCTCTTCTCAGCCTCTTCTCAGCCTCTTCTCCCATGCTCAGATTGATCCAACCTTGCACATCAGTGCACGACAAATCCAAGGCACAAAACATAGACCGTCCTATTCCATGCCACATCGCAAGCGCTACACAAGAATAGGGTAGTGTGCGGATGGCAGCGTTGAGTTTTTGGGTATGCCTGCGCGGTGCATGACTACGCACCGATGGCTCCTTGGCCATCAACTCCACATACCTGGATCCTGGTCTGAAAGCTACCAACCCGAGCTTCCAAATCTATTGCAACTCATAGATTTGGATAGATTTGGTATACTGCCAGTATACTGCTACATGATTTGCCCTTCGCGCGAAGTGATTCAGCTTTGTGTGAGCATTCTGGCTGCTCAAGTTCGGACGATCGATGGCGGGCAAAAACCGAAGCCAGATTCATGCTTGGAGTATCGGAGTATTATTGTATGTTATACGATATTTTAAATATATATAGCCGTTGCATATTGCACGCGATTGCATCCCATTGCTGCGTATCGTTGTACTTTAAACGTGGATGTCTCAATTTTGCTTGATCGCTTGGTTGCGGGTGCCTTATTTCCCCCCCCTTTCGCTGCGTTGCACACTTCGCACCAGGCTGAAAGCGTATGAAGCAGAAGTTGAGGAACTGCGGGCAGAACGTGGCCGTCTGGGTCTTGGATACTATTTGGATGCTATTTGGCACTTTGGGAATTAGGGCAACCCAACTCTTGCGTGCTATCCATGGGGAGTCTGTCGCGAGTTTGGTGCTTGCAATCTCTTACCACCAAAGCTACCGCATGATTGTAATCCAGGGGGGGCTAAAGCTGGATACTGTAATCACGAAAGCTAGCTTCTGCTAGCTGCAGTCCCTCTTGCTTTAGCAAGATGTTATCTGTCAAGGTGGGAACGATTTGGCTTTATAGAAAGGGAAGAATCAGCTTCAAACCCTTTGCATCTAGCATAGGCTATGGCGATGGTAGCTCTTGATACTTTCTCGGGTCTGTTCACCGACCCATTCCTGTCAGTGTTTTTGCACGTAAGATGCATTCCACATCAAATTTCGCAATTTTAGTCTGAGCAAGTGTGTGTCTGTGGGCGTCAGTCCAAGGTGGTCTCATAGGTCTCACATGTGGCCGGCCTAAGGTCTGCAAACATGCCACACGCGCTCTCAACAGGACCCGATGAGATTTGACAAGTGATAAAATGTGATAGCAATGTGAGGAACACAGTCACAATAAATGAAAACTAATGACGGAATGATCAACAGCTGAATTTTTGTCAGTGACGCAGCAACGAAACTCATGGATGTTCCAGATCGTGCAGCAGCTGCACAAGGAAAGGGAGGAGCGACGAGCTCGGTTTCATAGTTTTGTCTCAGGGCATGTTTGGGCTATGTTGTGCTGTGATGCATTGCGCATGTTCTTTTAACGAAATAAAATGGAAAAGAACCTTGAATCTTGGCTTTGAGGCTGAGGGCACAACACAGACAGATCTTGGATGAGCACGAACATAGTTTGATTCTGAGTGTATGCTGATCTGGTGGTGCAGTATGTCTGTAGAGCATGTTCCAAAATGTTCCGACACGTTCAAAAACCAAATTGTCAAGGTAAGGCGAACTGCAGCCGCTTGCAAAGCTTGCATGGTCTGCTCCTTTGCGGTTCTTGTTGAGCCACATTGACTCATGGGATAATCGCAACCAGCAACACAATTTTTAAGCAAAGGTTATTGAGGTTATTGTTATTATATATATATATATATTGATATATATTGTGTGTTGCCATATTGATTTAGGCCAAGGCAGACACTGAGTCAGGCAAAGCAGGAAACCGCAGCTTGGAAACAATCCGCATGTGGTTAAAGTCACAGAGCCAAGCATATATCGTGGTCGGAAACAAAGGCAGCGAACGCTTGCAAAGACAAAGGCTCGAGTCTCGTGCTCAGTCGTCTATCCGCAGTGTTGGGTCATCCGGTTTGTCAAGATTTCGCATGATTTCACAATTTCTCAGCAATCATGATGGATGGACGGGGCCGGGTCTTGCAGGCGTAGATATCCGTGCTCGGAAATCCTTTTCAGGCTCTAAAGGAAGATTTCAGTCTTACCTAGGATCAAAGAATCAATGATTTTGTCCTCATCTGCAAGGTAAAAATGTGACTGACCATGACCACAGCAATACTATCTGACATTGAATACTGTAGTTTCCCTCATAGAAAACGACTTGCAAAAAATGAAACGGCCATTTTGTACTGTTCTCTTTGGTTCGACCCTCCAAATACGAAACTGTTGAAGTAAACATCAACCGCTCACGCAAAACAAATCTTCTGTAATTTGCGGAAAACCTAGGCGCCCACAGTATTGCAAGCACCGATTCCATGATACTGCCTCCACGAACCAACAATGGCTTCAAACCGTAGTTTGCAAATGCATCAGATAATCACCAAGATACCAAGCTTGTATTTGACCTTGGTTGACTCCTGGTTTGAACGGAATGCCTCAGAGGTAGCCAAATGCTCTTGTCGAGGACACTCTGCAGATGACAAGTCGGTACTCATTTCCCTTACAGTATCTGATTTCATTTCTGTACGTATGACATTTATTATATATATGAGCATATGAACATATGAGTGAATCCCGCTCACCTGGGAGTTAAACGCAGATGTGTGAGAGGTGAGAACCGTTCTGCAAGTGAGACCTTACGATGTTGCACACTCAAAACCTGCACCTCGCAAATTTTGCACAAAGCCGGCCCAAGGTTTTCGGGATAAATTGTCAACACCCCCCTGTATCCCCCATGTAGTATGATCTATGTATATCTATGTATTATCATATATGATCTATATATGGTATTATACTTTATATGTAATTATACAATTACATACACATACACCTTACATACACGTAGCATGCACCTACATTGCATTGCATGATTGCATCGCGTTACACGATATACATTGCAATACGTTATAATTCAGAAGATGCACGAAGATTACGTACACTGCCATGTTCAATGTCTCAGGCTTCTTCTGCACTGTTGCCTGAGAATTCAAAAGGTCAGCCAGTACACTCTATACACTACTCTTATTTGGCTTAGATGTGTTTTTAGTATTTTTATAGTATTATTTAATATTATTCATATTATTTTAAATGTTCTTGTGTGTCTCTCGAATGAATATGAATGAATCATGGTGTTACGACTGTTATTTTGCCCATTTACCCGCGGTGGGGCAAAACACATGTTGGCTGCAACGCATTTGCGGAACGCAGATTCCTTGCACTATACACAAGATTACACAAGTGTGTTTTCCAGAGTGCATGCATGTGAAATCATGTGAATGTGCTTCCGTATGTACGAGTCTGGTAAACCAGGTCGGTCGCTCGGCTGCGTGTGTTAAACCCCGTAGCACCAGTCCTCTCACAGATGAATTGGTACGGGTTCCGGCATTTTTCCACTGGAATGTCCTTGTTGAATTTCGTTGAAATTGGTTGAATAGAGAATTTAGGAGACTGCCAGACATGACTTCGGGCCACGAAGGTCACAGCTTCACTCTCAAAGTGGTGAGAAGGAGATTGCTGCAGCCACCCGACATGCCCGGACCTCAAATTCCAGTGCCCGTTCCACATGATGCTTTGTGACGTTCAGGAAGGCTTGCAGAAGGAGCACCTGAAGGCCGAATTGCCGACGATTGGCCTTGCTGGCCTTGACCAAAGTGAGACTTTGCCAACAGAAGCAGAGCGCCCAGGCTTGGGAAGAGCTACAAAGAGTGCATGGCTTGGCAAAGGACAAGGCTTCAGAACTCAAGAAGCACACCCAGCAAAATATGAAACTGCTGGATTTGTGCAGCCAGGATGCAAAGCTAGAACTTGCAATGAAGCTAGCGTTGGGTCCTTAACTGCTGGAGGATCGCTCTCGCCATCTCTTGCTATCATTGCTTTGAGACACATGTCTTACAGTGAAACACACCCAGGCAAGAGGCGATCGGAATGGCGACAGAGTTGCAAGTATCTTGAGATGCATTTTTGCATTGGATATGCATTGGATATGCAATGGATATGCATTGGTTCAGGATGCTTTCGTCCAGCAGACCAAGAAGTACCACGAGTTGGTAGCTAAGCAGCTTACACGAGTCATTTTGTTAGCCGATCTGGAAGCCAAAGTCTTAGGCTGTCCAGGAGTGTCCGCAAACATCAAGGACAATTATTGCAAGACATGAAAGAGGCGTGGGGCCACTTTGGGCCTTAGGAACTGCCAAGGCTTGCATTCTTTCCAGTGCAGGCACAGGAACTCCCTCGATTAGCAGAGGATTTTGCCTTGGAGCTCCAGCAACTTTTGGGTTTGTCGCTGAGCAAGTCCCATTAGTCGAATTGCAGATGATCAAATGCAAACGTAACAAACGCAGGAGATATTTAGACAATCGCAGAGGGTAACGTCATCGCTGACAGGAAGTGCTCGAGAAGCAAACTCTATCGGCGAGGCCTTTCCATGTCCGGTTTGTTGGAGCATTTTTGTAAGCTTTTAAACAACTGTATACCTTCTATATCCTTCTATTACCTTCTGTCCTTTCATAGGAACAGTGGAAGAAAGAGGCTCGGAAATTGGAAGACCAAGTGCAGAACTTGACGATGTCCCTCCCTCAGGGATGTCATGGAATCGGATTACTGGTGGTTCGGTTGATTTTGCCATATTTTGTTATATGTTGCCTGTCTCAGTCTCGTTATTGTTTTGTCATGTTTTGTCTATGTCTCTTTTTCGCGACCCCATGTCCAAGCCTTGAAGCAAGGCAGCACAGAGAGGTCGCAAAGACCGTCCGTGAATTTCGTCAGGCAGAGTGTTTCCAGCAAAGCCTTTACATTTCTATACATTTCTAATCATTACGGTGCAGTCTAGTTGCCAGATGTTGCCAGATGTTGCTAGATGTTGCCAGATGTTGCCAGATGTTGCTAGATGTTGCTAGATGTTGCTAGATGTTGCTAGATGTTGCTAGATGTTGCTAGATGTTGCTAGATGTTGCTAGTGGGTTTCTTTTGATCAGGACTGTGTTGCATCGTGACAACGTGTTTCTCAAAGGCAGATGATGACCGCAAAGCCAAAGATTTGGAGCAATTGAGCAAAGAAGATGATCGCCGAAAATTGAAGATGCAGCGTTTACACCCCAGCCGCTAAGATGTGATCAGATGTGATCGGGTGTAATTAGGAAGATTCACGGAGAATATGATAACGATTGAGAAAGCTGATACGGGAGTAGCAGCTTGGGTACTGCGGAAGTACCAAAGCCATCCAAAGCCAGCTTCTTTTGACATGCGAAAACTCTTTTTTAGGGTTGGCAGCGTGCGAGGCGATGGACGCCTGAGTAATCCCAACATCATCAAACAGATGGCACAGGTGCTGAAAGGGAGTGACGAAGAGAATAAGGTCAGATACGATGTTGATAAGATGATCATAGATGATCAATATGAGCAGGCAGCATTTTGCATCATTCAGATCCATTTTGCACCTTCTTGTGAGAGTGCTTTTGTTGCTCGGGGTGCAGGCCACCGATGGACTTGAAATAAGTAAAGTTGCCATGTGCTCAGTGCCAACCCCCATCCAAGCCCTGTAACTTTGCAATCTACATGCTGAACCGGCTGAACCGGAAGTTCTGAATTATAACTGGGCACGCTTTTGTGTGTGTGTTTGTGCTTGTGTCTGTGTGCCCCAGTATTTTCAGGATGAGAGGAATCGGATGGAGAAGCCCGGAGCTAAAGCGGGCCTATCGATTAACACCATCAGATGTACTTCACCACCCAAGGGTTTCTCAGCCTACTGTATCTCAAAAAGTCAACTGTAACTCATCACTGATCAAAAGCAACCAGTTAAACAGTTATAGTCAGTCCATGCCTTTTTTTTCTTGTATTGGATGACGTTGTATTGTGCTATTGGTTCAGACACACGTTCTATTCAGCTGCACCTTTCAGGGCAAGACGAACAGATTGAGAGATTTGAACGGAGTTTTGAACGGTATACACTTCGATATACTTCGATGACATTGGGCCTAAGCTGTTGCAAAGGAATGCAAAGGAGTAATCTGAGTAGTCTGAGTTGCAGGAGAGATCTGTTCCAACGAGGATTCTGTATGTCGATGCTTTTGCTCGAGGCGGCCCCAGACCTGACTTGCAGCTGCAATGGTCAAAGGCCGGTGACTTGCCATACGTTCAACGCATTTCAACATATTTCAGCATAGCTCATTACTATTCATTACTAATCATTACGACTATTCATCACACTCATACGTGCAGTGCTACGCATTTTCTTCCTGCAGGCTCCGTACAAGGACTGGCGTTCTCGAAGCTCCTGCGATCTTTCTCAGGTGTGCCAACGAAGTATGGCTTTCCGCACACAGTTCATTCAATGTGCCTGGGATCGACTGAGGTTGTCAGTATCGGATATGGTTTTGCCTCTCGAGCATGAAACCTATTTTTCAACGAGTGCCATTCTTCGCATGTTTTTTGGTGTGTGTGTGTGTGAGAGATCTTGTGGGCTTAGTATATGAGGCGCAGAACTAGAGAACTGATGTGGTTTTATTTTTGTGTTCCTTTCCATAATCTTTCCATGTTATGTCAACAAAGGCTGCCTGGCTCTTTGCTGTGCCTGCACATCGCTGCTTTTCTGTGCCAAAACCTTACTGCAGGTCATTGCGTGTTTTGCAGTGAATTTAGTTGACATTGAAGCAACAGCCTTCAAGGTGCACGCCTGTTCGGTCCTTTGATTTCGTGTGCAATACAGACAACGACGTGGAGGCATGATTCCTGGCTGCGATCCGTTGCCATCCTCTGCAAGGAATTGATATTTCTTGTCGTTTCTTGCGGAGGCTTTCGTCTTGGTTATTAGCAGGTTGTGCACAAGGAGTTTTGACAGTTTCTGATGTTTCTGCGCTGAGTGTGTTGAGACATTCGGTTTGAACAATTCAAGGCGTTTTTTGATCAAACTGCTTCCAGAATACATTCCCGCCATGGTTTGACTTAGTGGACTTGGCGACCACACTGAACACTGACGACACCACAGTTTGTTGGCGATTTGGTTTTGTCCTTGACCGAAGAGCATAGGCAAAATATGGCACAAGGGTGATTTGACAGAAGACTAGCAGCTGAAGGGGCTCAAGCCCAGTACGAAGACTGCAGAAATCAGCTGTCCAACCATACATATTTTCATTGGAATGACATGGTGTCAATGAATTGCTCCTTGCATCATGCTTGGTTAGGGCCTAGGAGCGCTCAATGTGCATTGTGTATGCGCAGTGCAACCGTGCTTGCTATCGTTTTGCTCAATGGTTTGTGATGCTCTCTTTACCCACCCCCTTGATTTGTGACCCTTGTACAAGCACATCGGCACGATTGGATCCTTGTGCCGCTCTCGACTGGACGAATCTTCCAATTTCTATTTCACCTCTCGTAGCATCTCGTAGCAAACCATTAGTATCCATTGGTAATTTGTCGAATCATGTCGAATCAGTGTGTACTGAAGTGTGCCTCAAATTCACTCCGTCCCAGCTTTATGATGCTTTATGTATGTGTCAGTGGGAAATTGTTTTCAATGGCTTTTGGTGGCTTGTTCTCATCGGGTGTCCGGGCACCAGTTCTCACGAGGAGCCAGGGCTGGCCAGTTTACGGTGGAGTCCATTCCCATGCAAGGCCTTCAACGTGAGATGTGAGAAGCAAATGCGGGGAACAAGATGGGAACAAGAGTTTGTCGTTTGTGGATGTTTGTGGCACATGAACGTCAGCTGCAGGTTTGTGGCCATGAAGGGGTGGAGAGCTTTGCAGGGCTGCAAATGATTGTTCACAGACAACCTGCAAAGGATTGCAAAGGCAAAGCTCTCATGGAATTCTCCACCACTTCATTTGTGGCTGCAGGTGGACAAAAGTTCAGTTTGCGCCTTGCAGCTGCTTCAATTGGAGAGCTTTGCTGTGTCATCGTTAGTTTAATTTAACTTCGGCCTCAACCTTCGGCGGGGCCCAGGGCTGCGTGCCGGGCAAACAAGAATACTTTGAGCACACATCTCCTGGAGGCTGCGCAAATCACAGACTTCCGGCAGCTCACAATATGTCACAGATTGTTACAGTATATTACAATACTTTTCAGCCATTGACATCCATTGATCATGAATGAATTGCACTCTTGCAGGCCGTTTCCAAAATGCCGCGCCTAAAGCCTCAGACTACCTCAGACTATTTCAGACTTAAGTTGAGCAGACTTGGAGAGCGCTCTGGAGCGACTTGAAGACTCAACCGTAGCCCTGCAGAGCAGTTAGCCTCTTGGTTGTCAGTTGGTCGTCAGGCCAATTGCCGCCTCCTCCAGCCGAGACTGAGATGGACAGTCAGTGTCACTTGAGTCCAATAGGTCGTCTCTGCTTCGATCACTTTTTGACATTCTGGCTGATTCTGAAGTGGGCATCTACGTTTTAGACACTGTCACACAGGGTGTAAGATGGTGTAGGCACAGTGTTTTGGGATGCGGCGGCAGGATCCAGACGGGGGAGCTGAAGCCTGACCAAAGCAGAGGTTCGCACATGGCATAGTTCCGATCTATGCCTTTGCTTCCTTGAGGCCTCACCAAGGTCGAAGAATTTTCAAGGGCCTGCCTTTAAGTTGCAATTTCACATAATTTCACCATGTCCCATTGGAATGCCCAGAACTGTGACAGCTTGTACTACGTAGCCTACAAGCCGCTTTTACAACACGTGAAGGCATTGTACATATCACAGGGCTGCTGCCATGGATCACGCCAACGCAAGAAAAGTCACACAAAATCGGAGCGTCAAAAACACGAACTCCGCCGACTCCGTCCTTATTGAAGTCAAGTTGTTGCGATATGTTGTGGAAAATATATTTATACAGTATAATTTATGCGTGATAATGATAATGTATCTATGATCCTTTTATTTATATATATAATTTATATATTATATACATCCACAGAACTTTGTGACGATGTCGCGTGATTGGCTAATTCGCAGAGTCAAACATATCTTCTCTGAGAGATAAATAATGATAAATCTGTCCTCGGTCATTTCTCGGTCATGTCTCGGAGTCTCTCGACTCAAGTCAGACGTCATAGCTGATTGTCCGAGTGATATCAGTGAGACCAACGGATTCACAGGTGGAGCTCGTGTGTTGCTATTTGTTTTGGTCCGCACAGAGAAGGAGCTTTGACCTGAGAAGGTTAGCTCTTGGATGACTGGAGCTCAAGAGAATCAAAACCTTGACAGATTGGAGGGATGATGTTATGATTTCTTATAATTTCTTAATTTATTCTGGCGTATCTTATTCCTGAGCCGAGCGGGCTTGGTGCTTGTTCACACCTGGCATTTCAATTGCAACTGGACCCGCAACTCAAGTTTGCGTGGGCAGCATTTTCAGCTCAAGAGCGTTTCCACAGGTCTTGAACGATGCTGCCTCTTTGGTTCCACTTCTATCTGCTTCGGCTGGCAGTCGGCAGGACATAGGAGATTTGCTGTTTGGGCCAGATCCCGGTGTTCCTGCCAGCCCTATAAGACAGCAGGCTGGATATTCCTCCAGATAGCTATGGGATGCTATTGGTGGACGGAGATACCCTCGCGCCAAAGTATACAGTTAATGTATGTTAATGTCTCAGTTTAATGTGGTGCTGCATCGGGTTGCACTGAACGTGTGAACATGTATGTTATCTCTATCTTTTGTCTTGTCTTTATCTAATGTACTGTAGTCTAGTGTAAATGTAAATGTCCATGTACATGTAAATGTAGATGACTGTAAATGCAAATGTAAATGTAAATGTGAACCAAATGTAAATGTCATGCAATGTATGTAACGTGTGGACTGTATAGTATTGTATTATATTTGGTGATACTATACAGTAGTTTATGGTATTTTATTGTGGTATTGGTAGTGGCACTGGCAATGGTAACGGTAACGGTAAGGGGTATGGTATAGTATGGTATGCAGTTGTGTGTGTGTGTCTACTTGTGTATGTACGTCATGTCATGTAGTACTGCAACGTAGTGGCGTGTAGTGTGATGCAATGTATTCTAGAATGATCTGTAATGCGTATGTATTTGCTTTTTATTTATTTGCATATTCAAGCAGCAAGCACAATTATGCAAAAAATCATGCACTCATGCATTCATTTATTTCTGCGCGGGTTCCCATACTCAAGCATAAGGATGCATGCCTGCATTCACGCATTCATACAATCATTTATTGATGTATTCAGTCGTCTTTCCTTCATTCTTTCCGTCAGTCCGTCCTTCCTCGCTCCCTTCCTTATGCACTCCTTCATTCCTTCATTCCTCTATCCACTTCATTCACACACTAGACAAGAATGGATCTTTGAATAGATCCGTCAGGAACTGAGTCCTGTAACATGCAAACCAGCCTAGACAATTAGACCTAAAGTAGATCCCCTGGTAGTACTTCTCGAAAACGATGTAGGGCTTCCAATAATGTCAAACGTAGTCGAAACCAGACATCAAAAATGAATAGGATCGCCATGTTGATAACAGAAAATAGTTACCAGATTGCGACAACCATGAAGTGAAAATGCAGTTGCGCGGTTCTAGGCTTGGCCGCTTGCCATTTCGGAAAA